GGGGTGTGTGTGTTTGTGTGTGTGTGTGTGTGTGTGTGTGTGTGTGTGTGAGAGCGATCAGCATCTGCTGTGTGTGTGTGAGTGTAAACTCAAGCGTCTGTGTTTCTCTCTCATGGTGTGTGTCTCTGTTGGCTCTGTCCAGGGGCCGGTGATTTACGCCCAGCTCGATCACTCCGGCAGCAAGATCTCCTTCCACAAGATGGAGCCGGTGGTGTACGCAGACATCCGCAAGAACTAGAGCGCCGTGGCACGTGACGGTCAGACGGGTGGGTTAGTACTGGACTGGTGACGGCACGTGACCACTGACTCTCTCTTCTGTTTCTGTGTGTTTTCATGTCAGTGTTAAAGTGAGCTTCTAGAGTGAAATATCTCACTCTCCTCATGTCTCACCACTCTAACTAAATCGACTTTGCCTTGAGTCAGCCAATCAGAATCAAGCACCGGAACTATCTGTTTTATAAACATGTTTTTTTTTTTATAGCATTATGATATGATCACCTATGAATTCTTTGGCATTTCATAATATATTTTGCATAAATATCATGAAAAGAAGATCATGTATTAAAAAATTTTTTTTTGATGACATTTATGTCATATTTCACCACTAAGTCAGTTTGCATAGAGAAAACGAAGCCTTTAGGACCATGAATTGATGTTTTGATTAAAAAATAAAAAAATATATTTTTATGACAATAAGGAAACCCCAGATTTTTATTGCTGCTGTTAAAATATTACTGTAATGCATTTTTAAATCGACATAAAAATAGCATGATGCATAAATACCATTCAAGTAATATATTTAGATATTTTGGATAAGGACCATGAGTTTTTTGGGGGAAAATGTGCTTATTTTACATTGACATTATTTTCTTTTTTTTTAATTTATTTTGTTTTTAAGTTAATGGTCAAGTGTTCAAGTTTTTTTTATTCACATCCATGTCACATTTCACCACAAAAAGCCTTTCTAAAAACATTTTTGACTGTTTTAGTGACAATTATGATTCTCATTACTGCATTAAATTAAAATATTACTGTAAGAAAGTTTTTTTTTTAATCAACATTTAAAAATGCATAAACATTTAGCCATTGAAGTAATATATTTAGCATAGAGATCATGAGAGTTTTGGGGGGAAATGTGCTTATTTTACATTTACGTAATTTTGAGTTATTTTATTTTTTTCAAATTATTTTTATTTTTAAATGGTCAAGCTTAATTTTTTATGCATTTCCTAAATCAATTAAGAAAACTCAATTTCATAACTGTAATAATAATAATTTTTAATCAACATAGAAATACTATAATGTGTAAATACTTTCAATTTGCATTATGTATTTTTGGATTATGAGAATTTGCATTTTAATGTGATTTTTTATTATTTTTTGTACATTATTTGTCCCAAAGAGAAGTAGAATGTTTGTATGTGAGCTGTAGCGTGTTTAGTTCGTGTGGTGAGACGTGATGCGTTCGTGAGATCGATGTAACTGACGTTCTAATCCCAGCTGAAGATCATGGAGCATGATGGGTAATCGTCACGCCTCCATGATCCCAGACGGATTAAAGACGGTTTGCACATCTCAGCGGTTAGACTAGTTAGCTTGTTAACAAGACCGCACTAATCCTGCTAGCGTATGTGTGTAGAAATGCCCAGTCTTCAGTGTTAGTTTAGTCAACTAGACTCTACATTCCACATTTAATGCGTCGCTGCCATTTGAGTTGAAACACTCCACTTTTATGTCTTAAGTTTCTTATGTACATGTGTCATAACTTAAGTTTTGTTTTTATTTCTGACACTTTTGAGACCAAAATCATTGACGGATCATTCCTTTGCGTTTCTGATGCTGGAGTTGTTTTATTGTGTGTTTATTTGCCTAGATGATGATTATTTTCTGTACTGCACATTCCATGAGGCCTGTGGTGCTGGTTTGATTCTGTTCTGCGGTTGCAAATCCTGCGCTGTGTCTGGTTCAGACTGCAGCACTATCGCGTCACATGATCATGTTAACTGGAACACTGCGGATGAGAGTGCCTTCATCGACTAACGCCTGTTACACACTTCTGTGTTTTCTTCTTTTATTGGCCTTTTGTATATGAAAACAGCCGTTTCTGTCTAATTTTATACATGCATATATACATAAATATATTAAACTGAATGAAAGCGTCTGTTTCTTGTGTTTGTGTGTCTGAGAATAATATACGGAAACTCACTGAAGAAAAAAATAAAAACGTAATTGTGACTTTATCTTGCAATTTTGACTTTTTTCTCAGAGTTCTGATATAAACTCACAATTTTGAGTTACAAAATTTGAATTGACATGTTACCCCGCGATTAAAACCTTTGCAAGAAAAAAAGAGAAATGAACTGAATACAAGGAAACAAGTCAGAAGATAAACTCTCTAGTGCAAGAAAAAAAGTCAGAATTCAGAGGCATAAAAAAAAAAATCGCAAAATATAAAAAAACTACAATTGTCAGATATAAACTTGCGATTGTGAGAGAAGTCAGAATTGTGAGGCATAAAAACGTAGAATTGCAAGATATAAGAAAAAATTCTGAATGGTGAAATATTTAAAAAAAACTAAAATTGTGAGATATAAACTTGTGATAGTGAGAAAAACCCAAAGAATTGCGAGATTTAAGAAAAAATGCTGAAATATAAAAAAACCTACAATTGTCAGAAATAAACTCACAATTGCAAGAAAAAAAAAGTTAGAATTGAGAGATATAAACTTGTGATTGCAAGAAAAAACAATTGCGAGCCATAAAAAAAAACTTAGAATTGCACGAAATTGTGAAATCTAAAAAAAAAAAAAAACTAAAATTGTGAGGAAAAAAGTCAGAATTGCGAGATATATAAAAAGTTAACATTTCGAGATATATAAACTCACAATTGTGAAAAAAAAGTCAGAATTGCAAGGTATAAAGACGTTAGAATTTAGGGATATAAACCCACATTTATGAGAAAAAAGTGAAAATTGTGATTCAATTAAAATTCAAGTTTATTTGTACAGCGCTTTTCACGATACAAATCATTGCAAAGCAACTTTACAGCAAACTAAGTTTCTACAATATTTAGTGGAAGCTTATCAGTGGTGACTGTCAATTAATGTACATATGGCAGAAATGTACGGAAAAATCAATTTAAGACGTAATAAAACAGACGATGAACACTATTAACAGCAATTATTATATGATGCAATCAAACTTATAGCAAAATGTGGTAGTTCTGTATGTTGTTTCAGGGTTGGCATCATCTGAGGTCCTCTGATCAAATCACATCAGAAACAAACACAATTTAGATGAGGAGCTTATGCTCTGTGTGGGAGGAGCTCATGATATGTGTGGGAGGAACTTATGCTCTGTGTGGGAGGAGCTCATGATATGTGTTGGAGGAGCTTATGCTCTGTGTGGGAGGAGCTCATGATATGTGTGGGAGGAACTTATGCTCTGTGTGGGAGGAGCTCATGATATGTGTTGGAGGAGCTTATGCTCTGTGTGGGAGGAGCTTATGATCTGTGTGGGCGGAGCTCATGCACATAAACAAGCCATGATGTCCGATGAACACTATTAACAGCAATTATTATATGATGCAATCAAACTTATAGCAAAATGTGGTAGTTCTGTATGTTGTTTCAGGGTTGGCATCATCTGAGGTCCTCTGATCAAATCACATCAGAAACAAACACAATTTAGATGAGGAGCTTATGCTCTGTGTGGGAGGAGCTCATGATATGTGTGGGAGGAGCTCATGCTTTGTGGGAGGAGCTTATGCGCTGTGTTGGAGGAGCTCATGCTCTGTGTGGGAGGAGCTTATGATCTGTGTGGGCGGAGCTCATGCACATAAACAAGCCATGATGTCACTGACTGCTGCGGAAACTCATTTCCTGTTCCCATTAAATCAACTTCCCTTCCCTGTTCACTGTAAACCGGTTACATACCGGCCTGCTGTGTTTAAGCATGAATTCTGGAAGCTGCTGTCAAGTTTTGAGAGTTTATTGTAGAATTAATAACAATAATTAATAATTTGGTCTCAACCAATGAGAGCATTTGGGGTGGGCCTAAAGACTGCTGCAGCGCTCACATGAATGATTCCAAAAGCTGACATCTCAGTTCATGGCGACCTCATAAAGCTCTGTTATAACACAATGAGTTTATGCACAATTAATCTTCCATAATGTCTCGTGTGTTATAATGAGAGGATTCGTGAGCACGCAATTTCCAGCACTGCGCAAGAACTTTTGAGCTGTGAGCGGATTCTCACTGAAACACCTCTGATTGGCCATTGCGATATAAAATATAGCTTTGGTTTTAACGTTTTTAACTAAAATACATAGAGTCTATAATCCATAATAACGCTTCCTTCAGTCACTGAAAGACTGTTCCCAAATCATTTATAGTACATTTAATTTCTGCTTGTTTTTATCATTTGGTTGGACCTTTTGTGTATGTGTTGCGCACAAGCAAATTTCCACAGAATTTGAGAAACAGAGTTCACTCGCCTGAGGCTGTTCTGAGGTCAGTGATGTGCTGAAACACCCGCTAGATGGAGACAGACGCCGCCGAGTCCGCGAGCGTCCAGCAGCGAACAACAGTGAGATGTGATGTTACATCGTGATGAGAACTAATCATACGTTATCTGGATCAGAAGTGTTTTGTTTACGCGTCTGCACTGACAGCGCGTGATGACGCGACGCGCGCTTTGAGGATTAGCGTGTCGCAACGGTGCTTTTTCTGCCTTCGACGCGACACAACACGAGCTGCGCGCGAGAAACGACAAGAAAAAGCAAAAGCAAAAGCAACGCGCTCGAGTGAAAAGCACGAGTTTTTCAGCCGGGAATCCCTGAAGACGCGCGGGAGCGACGCAAACGATAACGCAACGCTTCCAACGCGCGTTCCAAACCGTGGCTTTAGGTTTTGTTCAGCTTGAATTTAAGCAACACTAACATTAAAGTTAAAAAAGAAAGACAAAATGAAATAAAACGATTCTGGAAGCTGGCAGTGTTTGAAGAAGATGCATCATTACGATCTTACAGCCCTTACGAAGATTAACCATGATTTTACTACACTACTTTTGAATTCATTATTGAATTTTGTGCATAACAATGCGATTAATCACGATAAAAAATGGTAATCGTTGCCCAGCACTAATATATATATATATATATACTTTTTTAGCAAATATACATTTTTTATTAATTTGCTCTAAATAAATAAATACATGAATGAATGAATGAAAACGTGCTCACCCTCAGATCATCTGAGATCAGGATGAGTTTGTTTCTTCATCAGGTTTGTAGAAATGTAGCACTGCATCAGTGTCTCAGCAATGGATGCTCAAAAATCAGGGTTACTATACTTAAACCATGGTAACCACAAATTAAACATGGTTTTGACTATGGTATTTGTAGTAAAACTGTGGTAATACAAATGGTAATCAATAATAAAAACAAAACAATGGTTACTACACTTTTACTACTATAAAACCATGGTTAATTTCATAAGTGAGTAGTCACAGCAGGTAAAGGTTAATAAGTGTTTAACACACACACACACACACACACACACACACACACACACACACA